CAAATTTCCTCTTCAGTTCTTTCAGCTTGAGAAATGCCAAGCGTCTTCTTCCATTTTGGTTTTCTAATTTCATTATAAAAATTAACTGTTTTCTTGAGATTTCTCTTTGAGATCTTCTGTTCAGCTCTTTTATCTTGTCATTTCTTCCATTTCCTTTAGCTACTCTCCATTCAAGGGCATGTTTCAGAGTCTCTGTTGACATCCATTTTGGCCTTTTCTTCCTTTCCTGTGTTTTTAATGACCTTCTGCTTTCCTCATGGATGTTGTTCTTGATGTCATCCCATAATTCTTCTGGTGTTTGGTCACTGGTATTCAATGTATCAAATCTATTCTTTAGATGGTCTCCAAATTCAGGAAGGATACAATAAAGGTCATATTTTGGCTCCCATGAATTTGTTCTAATTGTCTTCATCTTCAACTTGAACTTGCACATGAGCAGTTAATGGTCTGTTCCACAATCAGTCCTGGCCTTGTTTTGGCTGAAGATAGCGAGCTTCTCCATAGCCTCTTGACACAGATATAGTCCATTTGATTCCTTCATACTCCATCTGGAGAAGTCCATGTGTATAGCTGCCGTTTGTGTTGTTGAAAAAAGGTATTTGCAATTAATAAGTCATTGGTCTTACAAAATTCTATCATGCAATCTCCAATGTTATTTCTGTCACCAAGGCCACATTTTCCAACTACTGGTGATTCTTCTTTGTTTCCAATTTTTGGATCCCAATCACCAGTGAAAATTAACACATCGTGATTGCATGTTTGGCCAATTTCAGACTGCAGAAGTTGGTAAAAATCTTCAATTTCCTCATCTTTGGCTTTGGTGGTTGGGGCGTAAATTTGAATAGAAGTATTAACTGGTGCTCCTTGTAGACATATGGATATTATCCTATCACTGACAGCATTATATCTCAGGATAGATCTTGAAATATTCTTTGTAATGATGAATGCCACGCCATTTCTCTTCAATTTGTCATTCCTGGCATAGTAGATCATATGGTTGTCTGATTCAAAATGGCCAAAACCAGTCCATTTCAGCTCACCGATGCCTAGGATATCAATCTTTATGCATTCCAATTCATTTTTGACAATTTCCAATTTTCTTAGATTCATACTTCATACATTCCATGTTCTGATTATTAATGGATGTTTACAGTTGTTTCTACTCATTTTGAGTCATTCCACATCAACAAATGGAGGTCCCAAAAGCTTGATTCCATCCACATGATTAAGGTCAGCTCTACTCTGAGTAGATAGCTTCCCCAGTCGTATTTTGAGTGCCTTCTGACCTAAAGGCCTCATCTTTCAGCACTCTATCAGACAATGTTTCAGGGCTATTCAAAGTCTGTCTCAGCAACTACCATAGTACGACAAACTGACAGACAAGTTCATTTCCCTTAGCTGTTCCAAACCGTTCCACTCACTTCCTGGTTTCCCTCAGCTACTCCAAACACACCACCCTGCCTCGCTTCCCTCTCAGCATCCCTCAGGCTGCTCCAAACCAACCAAGGCACCTTGCTTCCTTTCCGGCCTCCCTCAGGCCACTCCATTTTTACATACATATGTGTAATAATATATATACATGTACACACTATGTGAAACATACCATACTCAAAACTACTAACCCACTTCCAAAACTATCAAGTCTACTTACAGCGCCCCTAGAGGACAGAGTGGAACTGCCCCACAGGGTTTCCAAGGCTGTCAATCTTCACAGAAGCAAAGCCCAAACCAAACCCACTGCCATCCAGTCAGATTCTGACTCACAGAGCCCCTAGAGGACAGCAGAATTGCCCCAGAGGTTTTCCAAAGCTGTAATTCATATGGAAGTGGATTGCCACATCTTTCTCCCATGAAGTGGCTGGTGGGTTTATACCATCGACCTTTTTTATTACCAGCTGAGCACTTTGACTTGTGCCACCAATTCTCCTCTCAAAAGACTACAGTGTATGATTCCACATGTGAAATTTTCTAGAAAGGGCAAACCTAAAGAGACAAAAAGCAGAGCCGGGTGGCTGGGGCTGTAGATGGGTGGAGGACAGACTGCAAACAGCCCCAGGAACTGGTGGAGACTGATGGGCCTTACAACTAACTGCACCTTGATGACGGCTGTATACGTTTACTTCTTGTTGTAGGGTGCCGTGGAGTCCATTCCAACTCATGGTGAGCCCACATGACATAGCAGAACTTCCTTGAAGCGTTTTCTACGCTGTAACCTTTATAGGAGCAATCTCCAGGTCTTTCTCCTGCAGAGCTGCTGGGTGGGTTCAAACAACCACCCTCTCAGTTAGCAGTTGAGTGCTTAACCATCGCACCACCAAGGATTCTTGTATACACTTGTATCACTCACCCAACAGGACCCTGAGAATCTATACATTGCAATATGCAAATTGTATCTCAAAATCCCATTGTGGAAACTCTACGTACTCGTATGCAAAACAGAAAACGACAGGATGCTGGGAAGGCAGGGAAGACGATGGTGACACCTTCTCAGGTATTGATGTACATCAGTCATAGAGATACACTGCTAATTACAAAAGTGAGGTGACCACGGCTTGGCAAACTTTTTCTAGAGAGGGCCAGACAGTAAATACTTTTGTCTCTGTCAGCAAACAGCCGTGGCCTCTGTTATGGTCCTCAACTTTGCTGTTATAGCACAAAAGCAGCCACATGCGATGTACAAACAAATGGGTGTGGCCGTGTGCCAATAAAACTTTATTTACAAAAACAGGGAGGGGCCGATTTGGCTCCAGACTGCAGTTTACAGACCCCTGATGTAGTGTATGCTTATTTGTGGGTTTATTTATGTTTGTGCATGTGTGTGTCCGTGTGTGTATATATATGTACAGTTTGCCTTCTGTATCTGTGGGCTCCACATCCATGGACTCAACCAACCCTAGATGGAAAATACTGGGGTCTAGGGGTAGAATCCAGTGGTCAAAGCAATCGCTCAAAAGCTAGCAGCGTTCATTGTCAGTAAAGGCAAACGTTGACACACGGGTGGACAGACAGGCTGAACAATTAGGGTATATCTATGCGGGGTGGGGGTGGGGGTAGAGCACTAGTAGTGTAGTGCCTAAGGCATTTGACTGCTAACCAAGGCTGGAGGTTCAAACCCACCAGCTAGTCCCCAGAAGGAAGGTTGAGCAACCTACTTCCATAGTGATACCGCCTCAGAAACCCAAGGAGGGGTCGCTATGAGTCAGATCCGACTCCACGGCAGTGAGTTTGGTTTTACGCAGGGGCAGTGGCAGTGTGCCCATGACCATGTACAGGGGTGGCAGACAGTGTTTCTATAAGTGTATTTGTAGGTTCTGTAAGAAATGTCCAGGTACAGAGTAGAGTTGACTTGGGACAAGGTTGTAGTCACCTCTTGGCCACAGCCAACTACTCTGAGAGAGTGAGTAATTGGACCTGTGGGCTCAGGACCATGGTCGCAGGGGACATCAAGGTCAATTGGCATAATATGATACACAAAAACATTGTTCCACATCTACATTAAGTAGATACCCTCCTTGGAAAGATCAATCATGGGAGAATAGAAGGGCTGTGTTTACACAGGGCGACAGCTCAGGAGGCAGGAGTGCATGGGAGGGAAGGACACAGGGAAGAGGTAACTAGGGGGAGGAAGTGGGAAGAATGCTGTTGCATTGTGGGAAATTGCAGTCAATGTCAGGAGACAAAGTGTATGTGAAGTGCTGTACGGAAAATGAATTTGCACTGTAAACTTTCACCCAAATCACAATAAAAATTAAAAAAATAAAATAAAATAAAACCTGGCAGTACTATTTGCATAGCATTTACAATGTATTAAGTCTCATAAGTACTCTAAACCCAAAAAACCCAAACCCACCACCATCAGGTCAATTAAGACTCATCATGACCCCCACAGGGTTTCCAATCTTCACAGAAGCAGACTGCCTCATCTTTCTCCCGCAGACCAGCCAGTGGTTTCAGATCACTGACCTTTTGGTTGGCAGCGCGATGCCTTAACTACAGTGCCACCAGTTCTCTAGAGACTATTTAAAGTATATGGGAGGATGTATGTAATTATACACGGGACTTGAGCATCCAAGAACTGTATCCGAGAAGGTTCATGGAACCAATCCCCTGAGAATACTGAGGAGGACAGTGGCACGCATATGTTCATATACTTGTTCGTACACAGAATATCCCTGGAAGGAAGAAACTGGTAACAGTGAAGCCTCTGAGAAATAGGAACTGGGTGGCCGGGGGACAGGAAAGGAGGTAATTTTGGAATTTTGAACCATCTGAACATATTACCTATTGACCAGAACTGAAAAATTAAAAGGAAAAAACGGAAGCCTGAACACCCTGCCTGCAGGGCCTGGGCTCAGGCAGTGCTGGGGGCGGGGGCCCTCAGACATGCCTCAGAAAGGCAACTAGCACCCTCAGAACATCCTTAAACCTTAAACCAAGACTACCTTCTCCTCCTGAAGTCTTCGTAAAGCCAAAGCCAAGGCTAGCTGGACGAGTACAGAGCACTGTGCTCTGAGAACTAGCTCTGAGGGATCAGAGCAGTGGGAAAGATCAGACGGGAGCCTCCAGGGACAGTGAGTTCATGTTAATCGGGGGGAGGGCAACTCAGGAAAGGAGGGTGGGGACGGCTGCCATCTCTAAGACTGTCCTCAGTGTCACTGGAGCGTAGGGAGCAACGGTTGAATCGGTGGACGTTCTGCTGTGTGTATGCTCAACAACAACGCACTCTTGTTTCAAAGAAAGGAAAGCAAGGCAGCCAGCAGTGAGCAGGGAGGAAGAGGGTGCCACAGGGGGACAGGGAGGCCAGGGCAGAGGCCGTGGAAGGGGCCACCCCTGCAGGCCTCACACAGTCCCAGAGCCGGCCAGAGGCCCCAGGAGGGGCAGGGGACAGGGAAGGGAGGGTGGCCTGAGAGCCTCACCCAGTCTCAGAGCCAGCCAAAGGCCCCGGGGAGGGGATGGGGACAGGAAGAGGGTGGCCTAGTGGTGTTTACTCTCTGGCTCACCCGAGCATGACGTTGGCGTACAGCTCCCGTGCGGTCCTGGTCTCGCGCTTCCGCAGGATCTCGGCGTCATACCAGAAACCACGCTCCTTGGGGTTGTCGGGGTTGTAGTTGAGCATGACTGTCTGGCCCACCTCCAGCTCCTGCCACGGAAGGATGGTGCGGGCACGTGCACGGACGTCCCGGGAGCTCATCTGGACCACGCCATTCTCCGGGTAGCTGAGGAAGAGCCCACCGTGCCCATCACCAGGAGACCCCACAGTAACGGGAACCAGGCTGCAGCAGAGGAGGCCACGCCTGGCATGGGCAGGATGAGCTTCAGCACAGTGGTATCCAGGCCCTTCCCCGACCATCTCAGGGGCTGGTGTCCAAAGGACTGATGCCAACGGTTAACCAAAAAATGCTGTTAACCAAAACAACTGGAGATTCAAGTCCACTCAGGGTACCTCGGAAGGCAGGCCCGGGGATCACCCTCTGACCAACCAGCCACTGAAAACCTCACAGAGCACAGCCCTACCCTGACACACGGGGGGGTCGCCATGAGTTCAAGTCAATCCACAGCCACTGTCTGACTCCCCAGGTGGTGCACGCTTCATGCACTTGGCTGTGGGTAAGGTCCAAATCCACCCCGTGGCACATTGGAAGAAAGGCCTGCCAAACTCCTTCCGAAAGATCACAGCCATTGGAAACTCTATGGAGTACAGTTCAACTCTGACACACGTGGGTCACCGTGAGCCAGAAGCAACTCAACAGCAACTGATTTTTCAAGATGGATGGACAGTCAGGGAAGTTAGTAATTTTTGCCGAGCAAAACCTCATGCACCTGGAAAGATTCTAGGCACTAGGGCCACAGCAGGGAACCAGATTAAGACTCAGTCCCCCAGGACGTAAGCTTTACGCAGACAGGCATGTGTGCTCTCCGTGTATCCCCCAGGCCTAGCACAGAGCCTGGTACATAATTAAAAAAACAAAGCAAATTTGTTGTCGTCAAGTCGATCCTGACTAGCGATCCCATGTGTGACAGTGAACCTGTGCTCCATGAGGTTTTTTGGCTGTAAACATCACAGAAGCAGACCGCCAGGCCTTTCTGCTACAGCACCAGTCAGTGGGTTCAAACCACCAACTTTCACGTTAGTAGTCAGGCACAAACCATCTGTGCCACCCAGGGACTTTGGCGCATAGTAGGCCCTCAATATATACTTGCACAGTGAACAGACCTGTACAGTCCAGTAACGGAGAGAGGCATAGACAAGATGGCTTCCTGGGGTAGGAAGTGTATGAATAAAAAAGACGGGATACTCAGGGGAGGGAGAGCAGCTCAGGCTGTGGCATCAGGACCTGGTTCCCCAAGAAGAGTGAGGAGGAACCAGCTTCCTTCGGGACACCATGCTGCTCTGCTATGGGGGTCTCATGGGTAGTTTGGGGACGTAAGGGGTGAGGTCCCCAGATCCTCACCATCACTCCCAGGGTGGTACTCAACTCCAGGCCTGTAGACACTGAGCCAAGGACACTTTCCAGAGACTGACTGTCCCCAGGAGTCATCACAAGCCCCAGGCCCGTCTGCCTGGTGACACTCACTCATCATATTTCACATGGTAAATGACGTCATCCTCCAGGGGCGGGCTGGAGGTGGAGCTGCAGGGCTCGTCCCTTGAGGGCCCCTTCCTGGTCACTCTGACCACCTGCGCCTCGAACCACGCGCCCATGTTCGTGTCCCGAGCGTCGACGTATTCATTGACCTGCAACCCAGGTAAGGGACATGGATGAGCAAAACTGACGCGGGCCTGCGTGGTCCCAGAGCACTTGGGGGTGGGGGTGGGGGCACCTTCGGTCTGGTGCAAATGCAACCCCTACAACAGATGCCTGCCCTCAGCATTCCTGATGTGAGGCCAGACCCTTCTCTGAGGTGGGGCCGTCCTGTGCACTGTAGGAGGTTGAGCAGCACCCCTGGCCTCCACCCACTCATGCCAGTAGTACTCTCTACTTACTCAGGACAACAGAAAAATGTCCCCTGATATCCTAATGTCCCGGGGTGGGTAAGTAATCAAATCGCCCCAGGGTGAGTACCCCTGGCCTATACAAGAAAGCAAAGGGTGACAGGTCCTGTCGCTGAATTGTACACGTGAAGACTGTGGAAGTGGCAAAAGACTTGTCACATGTGTACTTTACACACACACACACACACACACACTAATTAGTTAATTTAAAAAAAAATTAAAGGAAGACCATGCTTCTCAAAAATAATTCTTGGGGTTAAATGCTCGCATCCTCCAGTCTCCACTATGGGGTGCTGGAACAAATGACAGTCCGCCATTCAGTGGACTTCCTGCTGTTTTACTGGAGCGGGATAGGTGGCTGTCCGCTAACAGGAAGTGATCTTCACCAAATATGAGAAGAAAAAGGCCTACAGACTAGGAAAAGAAGCCTGTTGGCACAGCGGTTAAGTGCTTGGGGGTGAACCCACCCAGAAGCTCTGGTTTTTGAGGGAGACCTGGCGATCTGCTCTTACAAAGACTGCCGTTGTTACTGTTGGGCGCCACTGAGTTGATTCTGACTCATAGAGACCACCTCCAAGTGGCAGAGTAGAGCTGCCCCCAAGGGTTCCTTGGGCTGTCAGCTTTGGGGGAACAGCTTGTCAAGGCTCTTCTCCCGTAAAGATCCCCACCCAGGAAACCCTAGGGAGCAGCTCTACTCTGTCACTTGGGGCCACTATGAGCAAAAAATCAGTGATGGCAACAACACACACACACTCGAGAAAACTGACTTTAAAGAAAGCACAAAACAAGCCCCACAAGGCCAGTGGCGACTGGGAGGCAGCCATGTTAACAGAGGCCCCTGCTGCTCAGCTCCAGCCAGACTGCAGGGCCGGAATGGCTGCGGAGGCCAGCAGCATCAGCCTCCAGGAGAAGCCAGAGGTCCAGATCACTCCATGCCATCTCCTTATTCTCAGGCATAGCAGGGAATCCAAGTATTATAGCCATGGCAAAGGTGAAGAGGAGACGTCGGCCGGCCTCTGACACAGAACTCTGCCTTCTGAGGTTACAAAAGAATCCCTAGATGCCAGGAAATACACCCATGTTCAGGGCAGCACTGCACACAACAGCCCAGGGGCAAACCACCCACGCAGCTATCCGCAGCCAGAGACACACAACGTGGTCCACCTGTGCACTGCAGTATTACCCAGCGCAAACCTGACACAGGTTACAACACGGACAGCCTCTGAAAACGTGCTGAGTGAAGTAACTCAGACACAAGGGACAAAGGTTGTAGGATCCCACTCGGAAGAACAATACCAGGATACAGACAGATGCAGAGACAGAAGGAGATTAGTGGTTCCGTAGGGGCAAAGGGGAGTTCTTGGGTCATGCAAACGGTTAGGTACTCAGCTGCTAACTGAAAGGGTGGAGGTTCAAGTCCACCTAAAAGCACCTTAGAAGAAAGGCCTGGACTTCTTTTACTTCCGAAAACTCAGCCACTGAAACCCCTATGAAGCCACCATGAGTCAGAGTTGACTCCATCGCAAGTGGTTTTGTTTTTTGTTTTGGTAGGGTCCAGGGGAAATGTAACCAAGAGAGATTACTAATGAGTATGGGGTATGTATTGAGAATGGGGTATCTATTGTGTGGGAAGTATCCATCATGTGGGGGACATCCATTGCATAGGGGTATCTATATGGTCTAGGGGAGTTTCTATTGGATCCGACTCATAATGATCCCCCCTTCTTGGGTTTTCGAGGCAGTATCACTATGGAAGTAAATTGCCCCATCTTCCTTCCGAGGAGTGGCTAGTGGGTTTGAACTGCCAGCCTTCTGGTTACCAGTGAAATGCCTTAGGCACTACACTACCAGAGCTCCTATCTATTGCATAGGGGTTATCTATCATGTAGGGGTATCTACTGCATAAGGGTATCTATGATGTAGGGGGCTAGCTATTGTGTAAGGGGTAAAGGATGTCTATGGCACAGGGGTGTCTATGTGTAGGGATGTCTGGCATAGGGGTGTTTATGACATAGGGATGTCTATGGTGTAGGGATATCTATTGTGTAGTAGTATCTACCGAGGGAGACATAAGTGTTCTAAAACTTGATCGTCAGGATGGTCACACAACTCAGTGAACTCAGTAAAAATCACTGAACTGTACACTTTAAAAGGATGGATTTTACACTATGTGCCAAGTGCTTAACTACTTCTTACACTAACCAAACTCACTGCCATTGAATCAATTCCAACTCATAGCGACCCCCATAGGATTTCTAAAGCTGTCATTCTTTATGGAAGCAGACACCCTCATCTTTCTTCCGCAGAGCAGCTAGTGGATTTGAACCACCGACCTTTGGGTTAGCAGCCCGATGCATTACCCACGGCACCACCAGAGCTCCTTAGTAAGGCTAAAGAAGCACCGTATGCAACTATTCCGACTGACTTACAAACCCTTAAAGACACAGTCAGGAACAGATCTCATTCATAACCCAGGGACTGTCTGAGCCTTAAAGTGGTTGGATTCTTAATTATATGAATTTCACCTAAACTTAAAAAAAAAAAAAAAAAAAAAGAATCCCTTCAAGGAACCTTATGGAAACTGCCTATGAGTGGATTTCCCTTTTGCAGGACATAAGCTGCCCAGCCCTGAGATGGGGGGAGCTGGCCTGCACTTGGCGAGCTTCTGGACAGGCAGATGGCAGGGCAGCAATGCCTGCGGGGAGTGGGGAGCACACAGCCCAGCCAGGCAGACGATGCCACCCCTGAGCCTGCGTAAGCTCACCTTGTAGAGCCCGAGCTCAGTCTCATCCCATGTGTCCTCGTCCGCCAAGCCAGCCTTGCTGTCGGCGTCCGCAGATGCCTCACCGTGGTTGGACGACTTGTCCGACTCACCCTGGCCCAGGCAGCAGCCCGAGTCGGTGTCAGAGAGCTCAGAGTCGCGTTCCTTCGTGCTGGGGGGCAGCACCAGGCTCTGGCGGACCAGCAGCTGGATGGTGTCATTCAGGCGGACGTCATAGTCAAAGAGAGTGTGGCCATCTTCCATCTGCAGGGACAGTGAAAGGCAGGTCACCAAACACTTACTGAGCATCTGCTGGTGCCAGGCTGGCCTGGCCCAGGCCCTGCAAATAAAGGCAGGGAAAAAAATGCTAGATCTCCTTGCTCTACCCACTCAGCACCATCAAGTCGATGCCAAGTCCTAGTGACCCTACAGGTCAGAGCAGTGGTTCTCACCCGGGGGAGATTCTGTGCCTCTAGGGGATACTTGGTGATTTCTGGAGACATCTTTGTTGGTACAATTGAAGGAGGGATGCCGCTGGCATCGAGTGGGTAGAGACCAAAGATGCTGCTCAACCCCTACAGTGCACAGGATGGCCCCATCCCAGAGAAGGATTCGGCCCCAAATGTCAGCAGTGCAAAGGCTCAAAGACCCTGAACTATACGAACCTAAACCAAACCAAACCAAACTCTTTGCCGTGGAGTCAGTTCCAATTCTTACCAACCCTATAGGACAGAGTAGAACTGCCCCATAGAGTTCCCAAGGCTATAATCTTCACAGAAGCAGACTACCTAACCTTTCTCCCACAGAGGGGCTGGCGGGTTCAAACCACTGACCTTGTGGTTAGCAGCCAAGCACTTAACCACTATGCCACCAGGGCTCCTTATCTGAACCTAAGGAGACCTAACATCCCAACATGCACTTACTTCCAAAGGCTCAGACCTTATCCACCCCAGGGCAGCTTTTCTGACACATTAGCCCCACATCTCACTAATAATTCCTGTACCCTCATTTCTCCCACCAAATCCCTGTGGTTAACACCCTCACTACTAATGGAAAGGTTGGGGGTTTGAGTCCACCCAGAGGTACCTCTGTATAGATCTCCTGAAAACAGTCACTAAAAACCCTATGCATGAAGCAAAGAGAAGAAAATCCAGGACTCGAGGAAACAATTAGTGTAAAGAACCACGGACGACAAGAACCACAGCCTCCAGACCCCAAGATCAGAAGAACTGGAGGGTGCTCGGCTATCACTACCAGCCGCTGTGATTGGAATCACAGAAGGTCCTGCACAGAGCAAGAGAAAAATGTAGAACAAAACTCAAAATCATAAAAAAGACCAGCCTTACTGGTCTGATAGGGACTGGGAATCTCCGAGGCTATGGCCCTTAGACACCCTTCAGGCCTGGAACTGAACCTACCCTGGAGATCACCGCTCAGCCAAACAGCAGACAGGCCTGTAAGGTGAACAGTAGCTCCTGTGAGGAACGTGCTCCTCAGAGCCATCAACCACACGAGACCAGAAGGGCAGCATCTGCCCCAAACCAAAGCTCAGAAGGCAGGAAGGAGCAGGGAAGGGGTGCATGGAAACAGGAAACCCAGGGAGGAAGTGGGAAGAGTGCTGTCACACCAAGCGAACACGACAAAGCACAATATGTATAAACGTTAAATGGGGAACTAACCTGCTCTGTAAACTTTCACCCAAACCACAAGAAAATGACCAAGAAACAAAAAACAAACCCAGTGGAGCACACATGGGGGTCACTGTGAGTGGGGTCAACTCAAGGACAACCAGACCACCTTCCTTTCACCCAGGGCACAGCGAGAGCCTCCAGGGGCCTGGTAAAAACACGGAATCCATGGGGAGACCAGAGAGAATGCAACCCAATGCCAGCTTCCAACTCAGGACCAGGGAGCAGCTGTGTCGTCAAGCAGAGATGGGGTCACTCTGAGTCAAAAATGAACTTGATAGCACCCAACAAGAAGTCCCTAACATGGTGTAAATCGATAGAGAGAACCTGCATGAACAAAAGCTCTTTGGGGTCCTCATTCATTTTGAAGCACATAAGGGGGCTCTGAGACCATGAGTTTGAAAACCAGTGCCCTAGACAAGTACTGGCAGCACAGTGCACCAAGAGACCTGTTCAGAGTGTCCCGCAGCTGTCCCGCTCCTCACAGTAAAACCTGGAACACGCACTAAACAGGATCTGGAGCCTGGACTGAAGCACTGCGGTGTAACTGGCAAACTACGGGAAGCAGGACAGGTTTAAATAAAGTTTTATTGGCACATAGACATGCTCATTTGTTTCCGTGTTGTTGGCTGCTTTGTCCTACAATGGCACAGTTGGGTAGTCCAGAAAGAGACTGTGTGGCTTGGAGAGCCACAGATAATCACTTCTTCCTGTTGGGTCCCAGTGAGCTGATGTCAATTTATGGGGACCCTAAATGACAGTGAACTGCCCCATGGGGTTTCCTGGGCTGCAGTCATCATGAGTGGAAATTGGCCCAATGGCAGTGGGTTCGGTTTTTGGTTAATCCTCCCAGAATCAGACTGGCAGTTCTTTCTCCCGTGGAGCCACTGGGTGGGTTCGAACCTTTGGGTTAGAAGCTGAGTGCTTAACTGCTGAGCCATCAGGGCTCTTTTAAATATTACTCTTTATATAAACAGTTTGCTGACCTCTGGCTTGGAGAGTGTGCTCTTGCTGGGCTGTCCTGAGGAAGGGGGGCCATAGCGCATGGATAATGGCGGCAGGTACCCTCCCTCTCACAGTCCACAGAGCTCGTCTAAGAAGCAACTGCTCTGTTTGTGCCTGGCCCTCCCCTCCGAGGGGACAGAAAAGGCCAGGCCAGTGGACACACTGGTGCACCACTGTGACACAACAGGCCCTCACACAGCGATAGCAAGGCCACCACTTTGGGTGACCTGTCAGACAGACCTGAACACCATCTTCGGGGCAGGTGTGGCCCAGTTTAGCATCTCTATGGAAGGAAACTGTCCAGCCTTCCTTCCGAGGTGTGGCTGGTGAGTTTGAGCCACCAGCCTTCTGGTTAGCAGTCAAATGCCTTAAGCACTAGGCCACCAGACTACCTTCTAAATTGGTAGTTCTCAACTGGGGTGATTCTGTCTCCCTGGGAACATCAGGCCATGTCTGGGGATATCTGTGGTTGTCACAATTTGGGGTTGCTGCTGGCAGTGAGTGGGTAGTGGGCAGGGACTATGTTTAACACTCTATAGTACACAGGACTCTGTCCCCCAAGAATAATCTGGCCCCTGTGTCAGCAGTACTGAGGGGGACAGACCCTGTGTTAATTATCTAGAAAGAACAGACTTCAGTTCCTGCTCCAGAATAAAGCCCCGATGGGTCAGACGGTGTAAACCAGGAGGCCACTCCAGCTCCTGTGACCCCCTCCTCTCTTCTCTGTACTTAGCGTATGCATTAAACGTGGGAAGCGTCCTAGGACGTCAGAGGATTGTGAGATGCAGGGTCTCTTGTGGGTCAGTGGAAGCCCCTAACCAGGGCTTCCCACTGGCAACGATTCTGCCCCAGCAGACGTTGGGGCCATCTGCAGTTGTCACAAATGGGGAAGGAAGTGCTACTGGCATCGAATGGGTGGAGGCCAGGGACGTTGCTCAGCACCATACAGTGCACAGGACACCCCAGCCCCAGAAAACGGCCCAGCCTGTCTGTCAGCAGTGCTGAGAGGGAGGGGCTATGAGCTAAGGGCCTAACTGTGCTCTCACTGCGAGCCAGGCATGGGCTCAGCCCTTCACGCTCGCGCCACGTTGAACTCTTACTGCCCCGCGATGTGGTGGGTCCTCACTGAGTCCCTTTTTAAAGGCAAGGACATGGGGACAGAGAGCAAGGCACTGGCTAGAGAAGCCTGACAGAGGTCCTATAAAGCATGGCCTTGTACCTGAGCGTGTGAAAGGCACCATAAATGACAGCTATTGTTATTGTCATGGGCGGCCCCAAAAAAAGGCGCCAGATGCTTCCCGCCTTTGCCCAGCCTGGGCCTGCTGCCTAAGTCCCCTCCCCCACACGGCTCCCCACATTTCCTCCAACTAAGCAACAGAACCGCCAACCCACCGAGCCAAAGCAAGCCGCCTGCCACGAATCCTTCCCCGTCCTGAAGACAGCCTCAACTACACTCTATGTTCCCAGACAACCTCGCTGCCAACCCGTACTGTCATGCAATGTTGCTTTAAAAAAAAAAGCAAACGCTCTAGAATGTTCTGTAAAAAACAACTCCTCACTTCCCACCCGCTGGGAATCGCACTGCTGTGTAGCTGCTGCTAACCCAGTGTGTGTGCAGACCTGACTCGCTGCAACGCGCCACTCCATGTCTTTGTCCCCACCCTCCTGCCATGGTCCACTCTCCCGAAGGGCCATGGCACTTCCGAGGCGTGCAGCCTTGGGGACACTGCCTCACGGCTCTGGAGCTTGGGTTCTTATCCGGGAAACAGAAACAACTCCACATTCCTCCCTGAAGAGGTGAGAGGCGGTGGGGCCTCACAAAGCCGCCATGCGGGAAAGGCACATTGCAGCAGGGGGTAAAAGGAAGTGACACTGGCTCCAGAATCGGAACAGTTGAGGCACTTGGCTGCTAATCCAAAGGCTGGCGGTTCGAGTCCGCCCACAGGCCCCTTCAGAAGAAAGGCCTTGAAATCTATTTCTGACAACTCAGCCATCGTTAACCCTGTAGAGACTGCATGTCACTAAACGGCACACGTAGAAACTGCTGAATTGGTGTATGTCTTGCTATGTTTATTCTCAACAACAAAACAAGTAAAATTAGAAAAGCACACAGCCTAAGGAGCCCAGTCCACCGGGCAGCATTTTGTTCTCGGTACACAGGGGCACCGAGTCGGAGCCAGTCCAGTGGCACCTAACAACAAGGAGCTCAGGTTTACTCTGACATGCAGGGGGTCCCCACAAGCTGACAGCCACAGGTTTAAAATCCAGGTGAGGTGACTTTAGGTGTTTACACTTCTTTTGACTTTTCTGTATTGAAGGGAGCTCTGGTGGTATAGTACCTAAAGCATTTGACTGCTAACCAGAAGGCTGGTGGTTCAAACCCACCAGCCACTCCTCAGAAGGAAGACTGGGCAATCTACTTCCATAGAGATACCACCTTGGAAACCCAAGGACGGGTCGCTATGAGTTGGGATCGACTTGACGGCAGTGAGTTTGGTTTTTTAGTATGTTTGAAATTTTTCATCATAAATAACGGATGTGTGTGTGTGTGTGTGTGTGTGTTAAATATTAAAATGCTAGCACAGTACCCAGCCCATAAAAGGCACTCAAAAGTATTTGTTCCCTTGTTGAGGGGGCTCAAGTCTAACCTATCTATTATGAGTTGAACTGTGTCCCCCAAAAAGGTACACTGAAGTCGATACCCCCAATACCACAAACATGACCTTGCCTGGGAACAGGGTATTTCAGGTGTGATTAGTTCACATCAGAACGTCTTGAGAAAGCCCAACCCCAGTGACTGCTGAGTTGGCCCGGCTCATGGGGATCCCACGTGTGCTCCACGGGGTTGATACTGGCTGACTTGGAAATTGTATCGCCTGCCTCTGGTGTCCTTATCAAAAAGGAAGAAAAAGCACAGACATACAAACCCAGTGAGAAGGTGGCTGTGTGGAGTTGGAAGTGGAAACTGGAATAATGCTGATACAAACCTAAGGCACCTGTGACCACTATGAACTAGAGAAAACCAGAAAGTGTCCTCCCTAGAGCTGTGGGGAAGCGCAGCCCTGCCAACACCCTCGACTCGGACTCCTGGCCTCCAGAAGGCTGAGACTGCAACGTCTGCTGCTTTAAGCTACCAGTGTGTGGCACTTTGTTCCACGGCTCCTCTAGGTGATGCATACATCACCTTTGAACTATCCCTCGAACTGAGCCACACCCGGGAGGTTTTCCACAACCATCTGTCAGCTGCAGGCCCCTGTGCTGAATAAACAGGCTGAGTGGCGGTTTGGATGGGACAAAAATGAACCACCATGAAAGGAGAGAAAGAAGAAGAGGTGGAGAAGACGAGGAAGAGGGAAAGGAAAGAGAGGAGGAAGCGGAGGAGGAGGAGCAGGGAGAAAACAAGCCCTGGGGCTCCACCCCACTCCCAGCCCCATCGTCTCCCCACACCTATCTGCAAAGTGAGGGAAATGACAAGACACATGGTGCAGTCAAACCCTCAAGTTCCCGGGGATTGGCAGGGAGGGTTAACACAAATTCTTAAGGCATTCAAGTCATCGACTGGCTTACAGGAAGACGGCTAAAGGAGGCCTCCCAGGGGGCCACAAGCCTAAGAAATTAATCATCGAGTCTCATTTCAAGTCAGTACCCGGGATCCTCCCAACCCCAGAAACCCCAAGCCAAGCTCGCTCGTGTCTGCTTTTCAATCCCGACGCCAGATGGCAGCAATACCCAGCACGAGATGCCACAACAACAGAAGTGGGACATTCACAGCAGCGCAACTGACTACTTTTAAGCCCATGCTCGATGCACGCCCCTGTCCCTTAGGTCCAACTGACTCCCGGAGGGCTCCAGCAGACAGACTAACACTCTCCACTGTGCTGTCTTGTCCCACCCGGGAAATCCCCCTCATGATACACCCCACTGTCCCCCAAAGACATCGTCAACCACGGAAATTCCCAGGGAGGCTGCGTCGGGAATGGGAACAACTGTTAGAGCTGGGGTGGCCATTTTAAATGCTATCAGAGCCCAGGGAGAGGGCGACCTCAGGGACCATGGAGCTCACACGGCTGCTGAGAGCATCCACTCCCATTCCTGGGGTGCTGTTGCTTTTGTGTGCCACGGAGTCTATTTCCACTCATAGCGACCTTATGTGACAGAGCAGAACTGCCCTACGGGGTTTCCTAGGCTGTAATCTTAACAGGATCAGATCACCAAGTAGTCAGCTAAAAAGTAGCCCCACAGTGGCAGAGATTCTTGGCATCTAAGCACCGCTTTGAGTAAGCCAATCCAAATTCCTAGAAAACAGACCCTGTGAGATCAGATGCTAAATAGGTGCAGGCTGTGCGTGTTTTAAAGAAAAGCCTTGTCCCTTCTGTCCGATCTGAGCGATGATTCTAGATCTTTCCTCTAAATTCATCTTTCTTCTAAATTCCTGTCTTGGCCACCTCCAACTACTGTCTCTAGAAATGCTTTCTGGGGAGTTTAAAAAATTTTCAAAGGCGCTTAAAAGCCCAAGCCCTACAACTGCCCGTGCAGCGTGTCAGCCTACAAGCCAGGCCTTTGTTCCCTGGCCGGCATTTGAGGTTTCTGTGGACTTCTCCTTCCGGGAGACGTGAAGCGGACCGGATGAGGGGGGAGAAGGTGTCTGTTGGTGGCGGCTGAGGCGCAGTGCCTGGACCAGGCTGAGAACAAAGGTGCTGGGCAGTGGGCGGCCTGCAGGGCGGGTTTACCTGCTTGCCCCGGTAGAAGAGTCTCTGCAGGCCTGGCTCCACGTGGAACACGTCCTGGATCTTCCGCCGCAACTCCTCCACCTTGGTCAGCCTGGACAGCGAGTCCACAGAGTGGGCCTCCTTGCCATCCATGGTGCGCACTTGGATCCACATGGTGTCAGGGCTGAGAGAGGGAGCAAGCAGGACACTGGGCGGTCAGTTCCTCTGCCACTAAGCCATACTCCGGCCATCGTTGCTTTTGTCTGGTCAGTGGGCACCAGAAAACTTGCAGAATATTTTCTTCCCACCCTCTCTGGGCCCCAAAGATGGCTAGAAACTGGGGCAGGGTGGGATGAATTAATTAAGGAATGAATAAATTAAGGACTGACCAGGGAAGGGGAGTAAGGGGAGAACGAAAAGGGTCTCGGACCACTTAGTCCCACTCAGCTCCCTTACACAGAAGAAAACATGAACGCCCAGAAAAGGTGGACCGTCCAAGGGCACCCAGCCAAACAGCGAGCGGCCAAGATCTTTCGTTCATTCATTCCTCGTATTCATATTTACGGAAGAGGGAATTCCAAAAGTCCGGCGCGGGCCGGAACTTCCGAAGTCCCTCAGGAATTCAATGAAGTGGCACTGAGGGTAAGATCCCCACCACAGACCCGCCGGTCCCGGGACCCCTCGGTGCCCCACACGCGCGTGCGCGCCCTGCCCTGCAGTGGCCATGGCAACCGGGCGCCCCGTCCCGGTCGCCCCAGCGCGCTCCACCACTCACCTCAACCCGGTGGCAGCGGCCAGGCTCTCTGGCGGGTTCCAGCGCGCTGGCTCGCGCTCCCGGGACCCCGGCCCCCAGCCCCAGCCCCCTCCCGCCCGCGGGGCCGCGCCAGCGAGCCCACGCCCACCCCCACCTCGGGGACCGGCCAAGGGGCCCCGCTCGTCAAGTCCTGCCCCTTCACTTCAGCCGCCTCGTTCATTGGCTCCACTCTGCCCCGCCGCTCCGCCCCACTCGATTCCCATTGGTCCATACGCGCCCGGGGAACGCAGGGCGCGCGAAATCAGGCTCGGGCGCGACAATTGAATCGCGGGGCTCCCCGCGCGCAGGCGCGGATCCTGACATCCTCCTCCGCGGCTCCCCGGGCCCTCCCCCACCCGGCCGGGCTACCCCCAGCCAGGCTCACTGGACGCACTGTTGGCTCGGCCAGAATTGGGGCCCCCGTGGGCAACTCCCAGGACTGGCCGCGGAAGCTTCAATCCTGGGACTGCCAGCAAGACAGCCTGGCGCAGGCACCCGTGCGCCCCGTGCTAGCCGCGCAGCTGCTCAGGGAAGTTCTGCAAAGTCCCCGCGCCCGGTGCGCCGCGCCCCCCGGGCCAAGTCTCGCCCCGAAGCCCGCCGTGCTGCTCACCTAGCCGGCCAGCCCGATCCGCTCGCCTGCCTGCACGCCTGGCCCGGCTGGGGGTGGCGTGGACCCGCGTACTTGACCCGGTCACTGCGCAGATGTGTGTGCGACCCGGAGCGCGCGGACGGCCACCGCTGCCGGACCTGCTACCAGCCGCTCTGATTTTTTTCCCGCGAAAACTCGGCGTTTGGGAGTTGCGGGGCCGCGGGAGGCCGATCCCGGGGCGGGCGCCTGCCTCTTGATTGGCCGCCTCAGTGGCGGGAAGACAGAAAGGGGGGGGGGGCCCCCCCCGCCTCTGCCTACCCCCCCCCTCCACCCGGCCCCGCCCAGCCTTGAGCGCTCTGCTGGGCGCGCCCAGCGTGCAACGGGCCCGATGGCGGGACACAGACCCCCCATGTGTGCACCCCAGGAGTCCTTGGCATCACCCCCCCATGGTAGGGAACCCCCCTGACCTCTTAAGTCTGTTCTCACAGCGCCCCCTCCCCAGGCACGCACTGACCAGTAGGGCCAGGAAGGCCCCAGTCAGTGTCAAAATACTGCGAGAGAACCTGGGGGGTCCCCATAAGACCACCTGCATCTGACGACCCTTCTGATGGCCCCAATACCACTTCCTTAAGGCAGGTCCCTCCAACGCTCCCCACCCAACCCACCAGCAGGGCTTGTTTGCTGGGTTTTCCCGCCTCGTTTTCCCGCCTTCGGGAGCTGTCCAGGCGGCAAGGCGGCCCTGCCCCCTCCACCCTGCCTGCTCCACTCTGGCCAGTCCAGGCGGGCACACAGTGACCCATGCCCGGCACCTACAAGGACCAGATAGGGTGCTCAGGGCTGGAGGAGTTGTTCTGAATGGGCAGTGGGCAAGGCAGACCCAGTCAGTGATCTCGGAGCGATGAAATTCTGTCTGGAGAGACCAGTAACAAGTAATGAATACAGCAGATAATTTCAGTGAATATCCCCAGCTAAGATAAGACAATGGCTGACGGGAGACCGGCGTCCACATGGCGGAGAGGGAGGATATTCTGGTGGACGAGTGGGCCTCTCTGAGCAGGTGACATCTGAGTTGAGATCTGAGATGAGAAGCCATGGACAGATTGGATGAGGAGGGAAGGGCAAGCTCAGTGGCCGGAAAAGGCTTAGAGGTGTTGGGATGAATGGAGCAAAGGGGAGGGCTGGAGGGGAAGAGGCCAGCAGGGTGTCCTCTCAGGCCACCAGGAGGACTTTGGTCTATCTCCCAAGAGCAGTACACAGCACAGGAGGGCCACAAGCAGGAAGGAGGTATTAGCTTTGCCTTAGGTTGTTACAAGCTCCCCTTGGCCCTATGCCAAGTCCCTTCTACCTTGGCCCTGGTGCTTCTGGTCTCATTTCCCCAAGTAGTCAGCAGAATAATGGCCCCCAACAATGTTCAGGTCCTATTCCCCGGGACCTGTGAATGTGTGTTATCTTTCATGATGAATAGAGCCCTGGTGGCACAATGGTTAAGCACTTGGCTGCCAACCAAAAGGTCGGTGGTTGAAACCCACCAGCTGCTCCACGGCAGAAAGATGTGGCAGTCTGCTTCTGTAAAGATTACAGCCGTGGATGGGACGGGTCTACTCTGTCCTATAGAGTTGCTATGAGTCAAAATCGACTCACAGGCACCTAACAACAACATGGCAAGTGGGACTTTGAAGAGAGGATGAAATCAAGGGTCTTGAGATGGGGAAGCATATCTTCGATTATCTGGGTGGCCCTAAATGTCATCTCATGGGTCCTTATAAAAGGGAGACGAGGGCCAGAGTCAGGAAGGAGATGAAACGGTGGAAGCAGAGGTGGTAATGTCCCCACAGGACCAGGAACATGGGAAGCATCTGTTGTTAGTTGTCATCAGGTCAATTTCAACTCCTTGCAACCCATGTAAGCAGAGTAGAACTGCTCTGTAGGGTTTTCAAGGCTGTGACCTTTCAAAAGCAGATCACCAGGCCTGTCTTCTGAGGCACCTCAAGTTGGTTCCAACCACCAATCTTGTGTTTAGTAGTCAAACACTTAACCATTTGCATCAACAAATGGATTCTTTCTTACCATCTCCAGACAGAATGCACCTCTGACAACACTGATTTTAGATTGCAAGGCCCAATTCAGACTTCTGGCCTTCAGAACTATAAGATAATACATTTGGGTTGTTTTAAGCCACTATATTCGTGGGCATTTGTTAGAGCAGCAATAAGAAACTAATACACTCCAATACTGTGATGTCCAAATACACAGCTGTTAACTCTCTCCAACTTCAGGTCATGGTCAATGCTACTGGACACATTCTGGAGCCTCAGCCATCAGCCACGTATAGACCATGTCACAAGTGTAAGCAAGTATCAAGGACCTCTCCCTGAGTTTGTGAGGCAAGTTAGGACTTCCAAATCAAGAACACCTGCTGCATATTCTTGTTTGTGCCTGGTGTTGCAAAAACTCAACAAGGCACTAAGAGGGAATACAATTCTTCATGTATACTTGGGAGTGAGGGGCCCAGCCAAGGTCCCTTAGGTATGGGAAGATAGGTAATTAGAATGACATGTCTGGATTTCCCTGAAGAAAAGTCCTTGAGGAGAGGCATGAAGGGTCCCATTTCTCTAGTCATTCCAAAAAAGATGAAGAGGTGCCCAGTGAGTGAACCAATGGGCCTCCCTGAATAGATGACATTTGAGAGATGAGCTTCAGAAGGGTTGCCCACGTTAAAAATAATAAACACATACGAGACTATGCCTGAGAAATGGTTTGACAATTCTCAAAAAGTTAAACATAGAATTACTATTTTGTCGTTGTCAATTGTCAACACATTATTTAACCCATGGTGACCCCACGTGTACAGAGCAGCACTGTGCTCCACGGGGTGTTCAAGCCTGTGATCTTTTGGAAGCAGGTCACCAGGCCTTTCTTCCAAGGCACTCTGGCCTGGTGGTTGAGTGCTTACCCATTTGTGTCACCCAGGGCCTCCAGAATTACTGTACTGTTGTGTGCCCGTGAGTTGATTGTGACTCCTAACTACCCTATAAGACTGAGTAGAACTGTCCCAAAGTTTCCAAGGCTGTAAGCTTTACAGAACCAGTTATTCCTGGTGCCTGGTTTGGATATGGGCCCGACCTGCAGAGCAGCTCCAGTAAACACCCAGAACAATTAAAAGCAGGGACTCAAACAGGTCCTTGTGCACCAGCATTCACAGCAGCATGATTGAAAGAGCAAAAAGGTACAAACTACCCAAGTGTCTGTGAACATAGGAGTGGATAAACAAAACGTGGCCTAGCCATATGATGGAATATGAGCCGTAAAAAGGAGCAAAGAACTGAGGGATGCCACAATGTGGATCAACTTAAAGACGTCATGCTAGGTGAAATACATAAACCAGGCACAAAAGGACACATCCACTCATAGGAGGTATCTTTATTGTTGTTGTTTCGTGCTGTCAAGCTGGCTCTGGCTCAGAGTGGCCTTACGGTCTGGCTCTGCACCATCTCCACGATCAGTTCCCACCACAAGGATTTCATTGGCTAATTTTCAGATATCGATCACCATGCCATTCTTCCCAGTCTGTCTCAGTCTGGAAGCTCTGCTGACACTTGTCCATCATGGGCGACCCCCGCGGGCATTTGACATTCTGGTGGGATGGCTTCCAGCATCCTCTAAAATAGGCAAATGTGTAGAGAACAGAAAGTAGAATCGAGGTCACCAGGGGCTGGGGAGAAGGGGAAGAGGGGAGTTATTGTTTAGTGGGCATCGGTTTCTGTTGGGGATGATAAGATCTGGAAACGGATAATGGTGCTAGTCACACAACAGTGTGAATATACTTAACGCCATCCTCTGAATCATACACTGAGAAATGGTTAAAATGTCAAACCTTAAACCAAAAAGACCTATGCTTTCTCTGAAGTCTTGTTTAGACCAAAAATAGTTCTGCTTCAGTCTCCCTTGGGCACTGTGCTCTTTAAGAACTCTCTCTCAAGGATCACATTAACAGCAACTCGAAAGGTTAGATGGGAATCTGAGCAGGCAGTGAGTTCATATTCATGGGGAGGAACAACTCGGAAAAGGAGGGTGGCATGACTCAAAGAACATCATCAACGTCACCAAATTGTACATGTAGAAATTGTTGAGCTGGTATGTTTTTGCTGGTTGTGTTCTTGACAACAGTATAATATATGTTCTGGTTCCCTAGTGCTGTTCTGACAAGAATATACCACCAATGGGACGCCTTTAACAAACAGGAGTTTATTCTCACAATTTAGAGGCTTTAAGACCAAGTTCAAAGTGCCCGGCTCTAGGGGCTGGGTGAAAGCCCTTCAACCTTGGGCTTCAGCTCTGCCTCTTGCTCCTGGTCCACTGAAGCTAAAGACATCTCTTCACTCAGGCAGCTACTGGATGCTGAGGTTAACAAGCCCAAGGTTGACAAATAAAATGGCACAGTCCTGATGCTACCAAATCACACAACAGGCCATTAACCTCAGTCCATTGTAAGTCCCAAGGTTGGCAGAGCATGGCAGGCTGCTGAACAATGACATGGCTATATGCAGGGTCCAAGCATGCCATAAGCTAGAGACCATTCCCAAAGCTCTTTCTTATATATGGAAAGCAGACCACATACCCAAATGCAGCTTCTCAGCTGCTTCCAGTAGATTCCACCATGGAGTTGATTACCAGTCTCATCATGGGGAATGCTATATCCAGCTGCCCAGTTACTCAACCAGGCCCAGCCAAGTTGACACTCAAACGTAACCACCACAATATAAAATAATTTTTTAATGGTTAAAATGGTTAATTTTATGTGGTACATAGTTTACCACAATAAAAAATAAACGAGAGAGAGAGTGACTATGCCCGGCATTTCAGAAAGAGGCTCACTAACCAGTTAAGGAGAGAAGACACTGATGTCCACTAAAGACATCACACAAAATACTGCAAGGTACAACAAAGACAATGAACCAAGGATGTCAGAGGCTTGAGGGGAGACCCCTCCTAGCACCTCTTCAGCTTCCGAGGCCCTCCCACTAGGCTCGGGGCCATATCCAAATCAGGCCTCAGGAATAACTCTGCTCCAGTGCAGAGGGCCTCAGTTTCCCTTTTGCAAGATGATACACTCTCAAAGGTCATTCAGTCATCCAACCAACTTATTGTATGTCCTGAGTCAGGCAGACACCGGTAGACACAACTTACTGTGACAACATCCCACCGGGAAGAGGCTTCCTGTCCAATGAGGGGGACGCACACGTAAAGAGAAATGTCAAGAGAGCAGGGAGACTGCTCCATGATGGAGTCAAGGGTCAGCTTGAGCACACGACACTGTGAGCCTCACCCGTCCACATGGGTTTGGTGGATCTGCCATCTGCACTCTTTTCTAACACCCCAAACCATCAAACTCACCGCCGTTGAGTCGGATCCGACTCATAGCAGCCCCTCCTTGGGTTTCCGAGGCAGT